GAATATTCTTCATATAATTTTAATTTTTAGATTGGCCATTTAATAAATTTTTAATCCTGGCCAATATGCTCTGGGCCTGCAAGTATCTGATATTAAAACTATTGGTGAACTCCAATTCTAAGGAGACGACATACTATAAAATTGTCTGGCAACGATAAAGTGACAAATACAATCAATTTTTTTTTAAATGTATCTTTTTTTAAATGATGAAGGATAATTAAAAACAAATAAAATTTTAAATTTTGGGAAATGGGGAAATAGAAATTTACAAGGAATGCTTCTTTCTTGCATTGCATAAATTATGAGACATAAAAAAATAATATGATATAAGTGATTCACCTATAAACCTAAATCCTTAATTAATCAAGTTTCGATTTTATATAATATAAATATATAATAATATTATATCATTTTCGATCGTTGCTATTTTTATTTTTATGTAATTAAATTTTTTTTATTTAATTCGTGTTAAATTATTTTAAAATTAAAATTTAAAGATTAAAATTCTGGGAGAAGATTTTTATATTATATTATTCCATATTATAAATGAATATGAATGAAAGAATGAATTATTGTTTTTTTATGTCACATAATATAGAACTGAATACCATATTATTATAAATTACAATGCTTGTTTCTTAGAATTCTTAAATATAAAAAAAAATAATAAATGGATTTTAAAAGGGTTCGTTATGATCTGGGTTTATTTATTCTTTTATTTAAACCTGGAAATTTACTTTGAATATTAATCTAATTTTAGATACTTACATTTTAAAAAGTTTATTTAAGCGCATATAATTAAAATTAGATTATCATTGAAAGGTTTTAAAATTAGATAAATAATAAATAATCTATTCTAAGAAACATGTCAGTAAAGTTCTAAAGTTTTTCCAAATTCATGTTAATTTCATATATCTTTTGGTGTTTGCCACTAAATTTTGTATTTAACATAGAGGTTTGCATTGGGCGGGTTTTTAACCTGAAAACCTTCCCGTGCATTATTTGAAAAATATTTAACATGCTTGCCCCCGCCTATTTTTTTTTAAAAAAATTAACCCGCCTGCCCATTTATCTAAAATTTTTGTTTAACTCGCCCGCTCAATGTTTTAAAATTATTTGATTGGTTAGGTTAAGCTCTTTATTTATTCTAATATATTTTATTTAAACTAAAATATGCAATATTATGAAATAAAAAAATAATTTTTAATAAATGTCAGCCCATTCTACTCATTTGGAGCCAAAAATATTTAAACAATGCCCATTGTTTTAAAAATATTATTAACCAGCCATTCCAATGTTTAAATCTTTTAACGGCTCATTCCCACCATGCACACCTCTAATCTAACATCCAAAAAGTATACATTATTTTATTTTTGGGATGGACAAATTCCTTTATTTTCATTTGATAACAAATTTTTGGCAAGATAAACATTGATAGTTTTTTTCTCCAATAGAAATTTTAACCAGGTGTTAAAAAAATGTGTTCATTGTTTAGAGTTCACCCTGCATAATATTTGTGTTACCTTCCAAGGTATCTCAGCATATTTAACATATCAATTTTTTATTCCAATTTATTGATTGCAAAAAAAATTCATTCGAATTTGATGAATATCGACAAAAATCTTAAGATAGCACAAGCCTATCCAGCACGTCATAGGAAGAATGGCGCCTATAACAATATGAGATCTATTTTAAATTATAACTCTTTATAATTTTTTAGAAGTGTAGGAGTTCTTTTTCTAAGTTATAGTCCGGATTTTGTAATGACAAATTGTCATTGATGTAATTCCAGGCATCTTTCAAAGCAAATTGGAAAGTTTAATGTGATAAACCAGAATTAACAGTGTTATTATAAATTTTTACATTTAAATGAGCGTTTTTGATATTTGAATTGCAGAAGATATGTAAAAAAAAATTTTTAATATAAATTTTAAGGATTTTAAATTAAAAAGAAATTTAAACACATTATAAATAATACAGGGTTTCCCATCCAAAAAAGGAAAAGTCCCAATCAAAAAAGGAAAAGGTTCAATCAAAAAAGGAAAAGTGTCAAACAAAAAAGGAAAAAGTTCAATCAAAAAAGGAAAAGGTCCGATCAAAAAAGGAAAATTGTCAATCAAAAAAGGAAAAGTCTCAAAGGTTAAGGAAAAAGTCCAATCAAAAAAGGAAAAGTGTCAAACAAAAAAGGAAAAGGTCCAATCAAATCAAAAAAGGAAAAGTGTCAATCGAAAAAGGAAAATTCCTAAAAGAAAAGGAAAAGGGTCAATCAAAAAAGGAAAAGGGTCAATCAAAAAAGGAAAACTCCCATTCAAAAAAGGAAAATTGTAATTTTTTTAAAAAAATATATAAACTTTTCAATTTTTCTTAAATTTATTTATTTTTGTCATTCCTTCTTATTTTATTTCTAACTTTTTGCGATTTCTTTATTTTATTTGTATCTTTTCTCAATTTTTTTTCTTCTCATTTTTGTGGTTTGACTGAATCTTCATTCTTGGTCTGGATGGGTATGGTCTGAGGGTGGTTGGGGGGAGGGGTGTATAGAGGGGGGGATTAAAAAATAAAAATTTTTGATATGGGTATCAAATAAAAGCTAATAAAAATATTTTTTTATTGTAATAATAATAATCACGCATAGAGGGCGGGTCTAGGTATGGGGGGTCAGGAATATTTTTATCACCACAAAATATCGATATGGGTATCAAATAAAATCTAATTTAAATATCTTTAGATTTAAATTATTCATTTTTTGTCTTGATGGGTATGACTGTCATGCCCTCAACATACAGGGTTTCCCATTCAAAAAAGGAAAAGGTCCAATCAAAAAAGGGAAAGTTTCAATCTTAAAAGGAAAATTCCCATTCAAAAAGCAAAATCGTAATTTTTTTTATAATTTTTCAATTTTTCTAAGTTTTATTTATTTTTTGTCATTCCTTCTTATTTTACTCCTAACTTTTTGCTATTTCTTTACTTTATTTGTATCTTTTCTCAATTTATTTTTCTTACTATATCTTTTCTCTATTTCTTTTCTTCTCATTTTTGATAATTCTTTTTTAAAATTATATTATTTTTTTTGTCAGACTATTTTTTACATACATATTTATAATTACAAATATTAAATTAATCGTTTGGTTATAATAAATAAGTTTGAACTGTAATACCAAACGATATGTAAATTAATAAAATATAATCATTTTTAAAATTCTTATATTTTTAAAATTTTAATATATTCAAAACGCATTTATTCTTTTTAGCAAGTAAATAATTATTTTGTAATTTAATTATCTTTTAAACTATTTTGATTTATGAAAAATTAAACGCAAATGAGGTAAATTATATACTTTAAAAATAAATTTTTTTGTTTTAAAAAATAAAATTATGAAAATATGGTAAAAAGGGGAAAAATATTAACAGTGAAACAAAAGCTCTAATAATTGACGCGTTAAAAAAAGATAGTATCAAAAATATAGCATCATGTTTTAAAGTAAGCTATAAGAGAGTGACAAATATTAAATACTCTTATCTCAAAAATGGAATAAAATATAGCTTACCCAAAGGAGGTTCACGCGCACGCAAGAAATTAAATAAAGAGCAGGAAGAATATATATTAAATTGTATAAATTTGGATTGCACTTTATCCTTAAAAAGGTTATGTGAAATCATTAAAGAAAGATATGATGTGGAAATATCAAAAAATACGGTATCAAGGTTACTCTCAGGATTTAGGTACAGCTTTAAAAGAGTATCATTACGTTCAGTTAGAGAAAATAACGAATCAAATATAGAGATTCGCAAAGAATACGCAAATTGGTTTGTAGATGTAGCATATATGAAGGAAAAATTTATATTTATCGATGAGAGCGGGTTTTCAATATCAATGAGGCTATTATATGGATATTCCCAAATAAATAAAAAGGCAATTAAAAATGTTCAAGGAATAAAGACAATAAATTACACTATCATTGCGGCTCTCACAATTGCAGGAATATTTCGATTCGAAGTTCTTGATGGCCCTTGCAATGCTATATATTTTAGCAACTTTATAAATGAAATATTAAATCATTTTGAAGAATCTAATATGATTTTTGTGATGGATAATGTTCCATTTCATCACAATCATTCAATTAGGGAATCGATCGAAAGAAAAGGACATACATTGAAATATTTACCACCCTACAGTCCGTATCTTAATCCTATTGAGAATGTGTTTTTTCAATGGAAGGATTTTGTCAGAAATAAAAATCATAGTAACGAGGAAGTATTAATTCGTTATATAGAACATGGAGAAAGAGGAATATCTGAAGAAAATGCAAAAAATTATTTTAGAAATATGGAGACCTATATCCCAAAATGTAGAAGGGGGGAAATTATTAATGATTAATATAAATTTTTGTTTCGTACTATATTATATATATATCGTAATTGTAATTAAATAATTTCATATGTAAAAAATTATAATAAAAAAGTTGTCTGCCAAAAATTTAGTGAAAATTAAATATACTTAAAAGAATTATCAAAAATGAGAAGAAAAAAAATTGAGAAAAGATACAAATAAAATAAAGAAATCGCAAAAAGTTAGAAATAAAATAAGAAGGAATGACAAAAATAAATAAATTTAAGAAAAATTGAAAAGTTTATATATTTTTTTTAAAAAATTACGATTTTCCTTTTTTGAATGGGAATTTTCCTTTTTTGATTGACCCTTTTCCTTTTCTTTTGGGAATTTTCCTTTTTCAATTGACACTTTTCCTTTTTTGATTTGATTGGACCTTTTCCTTTTTTGTTTGACACTTTTCCTTTATTGGACTTTTTCCTTAACCTTTGGGACTTTTCCTTTTTTGATTGACAATTTTCCTTTTTTGATCGGACCTTTTCCTTTTTTGATTGTACTTTTTCCTTTTTTGTTTGACACTTTTCCTTTTTTGATTGAACCTTTTCCTTTTTTGATTGGGACTTTTCCTTTTTTGGATGGGAAACCCTGTAAAATAAAAATTCTTATATACTTTTAGGTTCGGGTTCATTTAAGCCAGATAGTTAAAAGGGTTCCGCTTTAAGCTCGCAATGCCATATATTTATCTAGACTGATGATTCCTTCAGTAAAATTGATTCTGAGGCGTCAGTGAACAAATCAGCTGGTGACACTCCATTCTGCTTTGTCATATAACAATTTTTATAAAAAAAATGAAACTCTACAGTCTAGATAGTATTATACGCGATTGAGGTTCGATTGGCCAAAATATGTAACCAGGTTCGGGGCGATTAGGGTTCAATCCCTGATTTAAATTACATGCACTATCAAAATATAAATATTGGGAATTTATTTTATTTTCCTATCTCTATGTTTTCTTTCTTATAAGCTTAAATGATATGAGCCAGCGACACCACTTTTTATATCATTTTACTTATCATCAGTGTCCAATATTTAATAATTACTTAATTTATAATATATTATATTATTATTATATAAAATCGATTTTTTCCCCTCTTTACATTTCCTTATTTCAATTGGTTAATAAAACATAAAATCAATGTAAACATCACATTATTTTTTTAAAATATTGATTTGTTTATATTGGTTTATAAATTGTTAAACATATTATATTTAAATGGGTTAATTGCCATATCAAAACTACAATATAGATTTAATTATATTCAAAATCTAATTTTAAGGCTTGAGCAACTATAAATCACTGACAGCATCAGGGAAAAGAGCCCTCTAAGATACTGACTTTGATACGCCAGGATGGTTAAAATATAAACTGATTCAACTATAAAATGGATACTGACTACGTATGTTTAGGGTTGGCATGATTTAATCAAATTGATTTAGATCGTGACTTAAATCATGATTTAAATCAATAAAAAAATCATGATTTAAAACGATTTTTTTCCCATAATTGCAATGTAAATAATTATTAGTTTTTTATTTTTTGATACAAATATTTTCTTATATCTATTTTAGTATATTTTGCATATAAATTATAATTAATGCTAAATTTAATTAAAAATTATCTTGATAAAAATATTTTGATGCTAATAATAAAAATAATAATTTTAATTCTAGTTTAAAAATTTTATTTTAATTTTAGATTTATATAAAAACATATTAGTTAAATTTAAATTAAACCAAACAAATATTTTCATAATTTTTTTTTAATTATAATGTATTAAAATTAAAATAAATTGGGAAAATATTGATAATTATATTTGCTTAAAATATTTTTTTAGTCAATCTAATATATCTTCAATAGTTAATTCATAAATATTTAACATAAAAAAAATGCTTAATGTAATAAAAATGAATGTGTGATAACCTTTTCTAAGAGGCTATTATTATTATAAAAATCGAACAGAACACTAGGTATTCAAAAAAATTAAACATAGGATAAAATATTTTAGTCACCTTAATGAACCGATGCAGGTATTGATTGGATTATAAAAAGAATCACTTTGTATTAGATAAAATTGTATAAACAAATTGAATTGATCTTTTTTAAAAAAGATTTGCAGTTTTGGAAAAATAAATATAATCATGAAATGACCTTTAAAAAAATGTAAAAATTTTGAGCGCCTAGATAGATCTATAATAATCAATAACGGGGAAATCGTTTTCTCTAGATGAAGGATATTTTTAGAAATTGTTTAAAAGTTATGGAGATGACTGAAAGTAGTCATTTTATTAGTTTTATCAAATGGATGAGAAGTTTAGAAAAAAAATTTTACGATCGGTGAAAATTTAAATTGAATCAAATTCAATATAAAAGCATTTTATTAATCTAAAATCAATAATTTATATAATTAAAATAAAACAAAACAAATTTAGATAGGCTAATTTTTAATTTTAAGAGATACTGATATCTTTTTAGAAGTTTATTTTACTATCTAGCAGCGGTATCTTATTATTTCATTGGCAATCGATGCTATAGCTATTTTTTTTTAAATGTAACGCGCTGAAAGCTGCTATTTTTTACGCCACTTTGAAAAAATAAAAATTTAAATACTACCCGTCAGACTATTTGCTAAAAAACAACCAATTTTATTAAAATGCAATAATACCCATTGATAGAATCAGGCGGTCACTTCCTATCTACTATATATCTTACCTCGTAGCACATAACTTCCTATTTTAACTATAGATAAAAAACCCAAAATTTTCCCGGATTCGACCCCAAATCTATATGGTATAGCTCATCACTAACTAGGCCATCACTACACTTCAAAAAGAACGATGTTTTTTATTTTTATAATATAAATAAACGACGAATTTAAATATTTTATGAAAATAGAAATGCATAAATAAAAAAACGCTGCCTGACGGCGAGAATCCCTACCACGGCTGAGGATTATAGTTCCATGTTCATTTTTCTTCAATATTACGGGTAAGAGAACATTTTTACATATATACCTGAAATGTTTTCAATAGAGAAAGAAGTAGAATTTATCTCTCATATAGATAGATTTAACAATTATACTATTCTTATAAAACAACTAATTTTTTACTTTAATTAAATCCCTAAATTTATCTATTTCAGACATTTAAAGATTTAAAAAATTTTGAATTTATAAATTTATAAAAAGATTAACTTTCATGTGATATTTTAATATGTTTATAAATATTTTTCACTTTTATCGGGGAAAAAAATTGATAAAAACTAAATATATCTTTTTTGTAATGAATCTGAGTATCCGGTTTATGAATTTTGAATAACTTGTTGGACTATATTAAAGAGGTAGAACAAGTTTAAGCATTATTTTCTTTTTGAAATTTATAAAAATTTTTTAGTGAAAATTTTGGTTAATTAGAACATATACCCATCATCTCCTAATCATCATTTTTCAACTAATTAAAATATAATTTAGAAATATGATATTTTCATAATCGTCATTTTTAAAACTATATTAATATTTTGATATAAATAGTTGAAAATAGATATTGAAGATGAAGGGTGGCACTTGAAAGTTGGCGTAATAATTCTTAATTTTATACTATTTAATTTTTTAAAGAATTTGTTAAAAAAAATATTTTAAAAATATTATTAATAAAATGAATTAAAAAAAATAAATATATGACGCCAACAAGGGATTTTTTTTAATATTTTATTTAAAATTTTTTTTTGTCAGTATTAATTTAAATATAATTGGTTAAAACTTAAAAAATATTGCAAATCAAATGATTAATATTTAAAATATTTTATTTTATATGACTATAAAATATCAAGGAAATATCCTCTAATATCAAACATGCACAATACATTTAAGTGTATCATCTAATACTAGCCGACCTCAAAGTGGCTCAGCCCAGTTTTGAGATAACAATTAGCTCGCACCTCAAGGTTTTTTTTCAGATCATTCTCGAAACTTGTTAGCTAATTTTTCCTATAACTAGTATTGTATAATAAAAGAGAAAACACCAATTTTTAAGAATTTATATCATATTACTAAATATTATATTTAAAAAAAAATTCAATTAATATTCTGATAATCTCATAACATCACACAAAAAATACGTTTGTGTATTTTTTATATTCCATAACCAAAATAATGACAAACTTTGTTGTTCATGCTAACAGGTTGTCAATGTTAATCTCTGTGAAATAGGGTTTGAGTGAGCGAGAGTAGCGAACGATGGGTTAATGAAAATATGTAACACATTTTTAGTAAATAAATGCTATTTTTAAAGTTAGTATTCTATTAGCATACATAATCATATCATTCATTTCATAATGCATTTATGTTAATATATGATAAATCTATATATTAAGCCAAGGGCGTAACCAAGGGTTGGGAAAATGGGAAATTTGCCTGTTATCGCAAGTATCTGAGCTAATAAAAATTTTCCCCTACACACCCCCCATCCCTCTAAAAATATACAAATAAATTTTTATAATAATGACTATAATTTAAAATATTTATAAAAAAGAAGTGAAAACCCAAAATTATTTTTATAAAAATTTTAGCCAAAGAAAGACTTCCAAATAAAATTTATAGAGAGAAAACCCAGATAATAGTGCTCCCCCCTTCTATAGGAAAATCCTTGATATGCCTATGTATTAAGCTAATACAAGATGCTTTAATGGAATCCATTAATATCTTTTGAATTATGAATATTTTATCATATTTATTAGGAAAAAAAGTATATGCTATTTTCATTTAAAAAGTTAATAAGTTTACATAATTAAGCTTTCAATTTTTTATTTTTTTAAAAAAATAGAAAATTGATTGAACTTTGCGCAATGCAATCATGACTTATTTATATATTCATAATATTAAATATAAATGATGACTTTTTTTCTTTTAATTATATTTTAGTGTTTTTTTTTAACTAATAAATAATATTTATAGAATAGAAAAATCGCTCTAAGAAATATAATTTTTTTAAAAAATTAGAAAATCAATTGTCACAACATAAAATTGTTTGAAAGAGGTGTAATAAGAATAAGACTAAAAGCATTCAAAGTTAATAATGATGGTTTATATAAAATATTAATTCTTTAATATGTTTTTCTAAAAAAAAAGGGAGAAGTGCTATAAAATAAAGTTTTATATTTAATTAGTTAGAGTATAGCATTTGATTAGCATCGAGAGATATAGAAGTTTAGATTCATTTACTCATTTCGGTAAATGCGAATCGTTATTCATATTTATATGAAAATTTTGATATAGTAGAAAGCAATGCATTAGTACATTGACGATTCATTTATTAAAAGTGTACAAATATTGAAGTCAATGGGTTCGGGTGTGGGCAGAGATTCATAAAATAAAATGGGTTCGAAGAGCATAAAGTAATATTTAACTCAATATTAATAAAATAACAATTTTTTTTATTTATTTTATTCTACTCCATATATTTTCATAAACATAATTTACTAGCAAAAAATTAATTTATATCTTAATTTAAATGTTTTCTTTTAATCAAACAATCATTTAAGATTCAGCGCAAATCTGGTATGTGTATTACAAGGAAGAAAAGGAATGTTCTATGCTTACCCTTAATTAACTATCGACATACTTTATATTTAGATAATTGCTCGTATTTTAATTTTAATTCAATGAATATCTAGAAAAATTGGATCTTATTTTACTTGATTGCATGTTTTGTTATCAATATTAAAATTTCTAAAATGGATATAAAAACAAGATAAGCAACGTAT